TCTGGGGTGAAGCCTTAATTATGAACGGTTATTTCAAAAAGAACAACTGTAAGAAAGAGCTATTGACAAGTGGAATTAAAACCTGTTACACTAAAAGCCGATAGCAACTTCGACAACGTATCTCACATTCCAGCAGGGTAACTGATAAATGCAAAACAGCTCGATGACACCATTAACTSAGATGCTGCTGCACCAACTGCAGTGAGGGATGCACACATTTTTTTTTTTTCAGTTGGGACTATCCAGGCAATGATCTGGAATTCCAGAGAATCTGTGATTCMCAAAGCAAGTCGTACCGTGGCTCAGCTTAACACTGTGTTGCTTGTTTAGGGTCACAGAAGGAACTCTGGGWTTCACTTCTAAAAATAAACCAAACAAACAAACAAAAATATGAAAAGAGCAAAACAAAAACAGTTTTCTTAGAAACTGGAATTGCTAAAATTAAACAGTCTGAGGCTGTGAAAAATATTTTTGCAAATGTAAAATTTGGGAAAACTTATGCATTTTTTTTGGAAATACTTTGTGCCTTCTGTAAACAAAAAGATCTCCTAATATTTGCTCCTGAAATRCTTATTAGGATATCACTCAAAGTGAGCTTCACAGTTTTGCCAAAGTAATCATGGACCACTGAGACTTCAGTGAGACTCAAACACTTCTGCAGCTCTGCAGTACAAGAGACACGTGCATGGGAAATCTGCAACACATCCACCCCAGCGATTGCTCCTAAAGCTGCACTCCAACTCAGATCTACTTGAAAACGCAGGCAAATGGTCAGGGAGGGCGCTTTTCTCATTTTTGTTCTCGCTTGGGCTTTGTTTTTACGCAAAGACAAAGCATGGAAGAAATCCTTTGGAGAAATCAAAACAGACATTGATCTGTGACACTCCAGACCCTGAGTAACAGGCAGCAMACGTGAAAAATGGGCTCCTGTCACTACAGGTGCTTGTGTGGATGCAAATGCATCCACAAACACACAATTATCCACAGCCACTTGCTGACACAGCCCCTGGCCTGACTCGGGGAGCAGGAAGGAAGTCTTTCAATGTTCCTATACAGGGACTGGAGCTCAGGAAATTAAAACTTATCTCCAGAGTCGCTTCTCTGCGCTGGAATGTTCCCCCTTCYACAGCTTAAGAATCTGATTCATTTTCCATTTCAACTCTCTTCCCTCCCCTCCAGTCCATGGGCAGTCATTACAAGATGCTCTGAGCACTTGCTCCTTTTGAAAACACCAAACCTGACCTTTCTTTTGACGTAAAAGAAAAGATAGTAGGATTGATAGACAAGCAGGGGGCCTTGTGTACAGACTGAAGTTATTACAGGGCAAAGCTGTGGTTTCCACTGAGTTATTTGCAAAGGATGACAGTTCTAAATTAAAAGATTTTTCAAAGCAGCAAGCCCATGGTCAGACACAGACCTAATTAATTTGCACTTCAGGAGGAAATTATCAGCCTGTAACTGCAAAACTCTTTAAAGCAGAGACTTCAGTGAGAGAAAGTGACTCAACAAGTTTTTCTTACATGCAGAGTATATACATCCTTTCCACTGCAAACATTCTTTATAAATGTGAGGGTTTTTTCCCCAACTCACCTAAAATACCCTATTTGCACATAAATTCCCTAATTTTTGTTCTGACCTTAACAGTAATCTTCTCCCACTATTTCTGACTGCACTCGTCTGAAAACTATGCAAGATCATCAGCTRCTAAATGAATTTGTCCTACAGTCATGGGGTGTGAGGGAAAAAAAAAAACAAATAAAACCACAAATACCAGGTTTGGTTTATGGCAACTAATCTCAGCTAGTCCAGTTTCACTTGTAGTTTTTCACATGAATACTTCTGGCATATATTTAAGCAACCAACAGCATCTGTAAGATCTTTATGAATTTTCTGACCAGATATGGTGTTATCTCTTGTCAGTGTTCAACATTTCAGTACATTCATGAAATATACCTCTCCCTCCCCTACAAACTAGAGATTGATATTAAGCAGCCTCTGAATAACCACGCAAAWTCTTGTCTTGGCCAASACACAGAATACAGAWTTTAAATGCAGAATACAAAATTTAAATGGAAAACAAGGAAATTCAGTGACTATATCCCTTAGACGATAGCCCCTAGTTCATGGCTGAAATGGCACAATCTGTGGGTAAATAGAGCTGTACAGCCTGGGCTGAATTCAGCTTCAACAAACTTTTTTTTTTTTTTTTTTAATTTGATATATCACAAACAGGCAATTCTAAAGAAAATTCAAACCCCTAACTTCAAATTGTACAAAAAAAAGGAAACTAAAAAAAAAGGAAACTAAAGCCCAATAGTATATCTCCACTGGTATGGGAATATTAAAAAGGTTTATTTTAAACAAGCATTATCCTGTCTTCCTGAGCACTTTCAGACCAAGTAAACTTGCAGTCCAAAWTCTCACATCTTGAAGATTCTGGTTATTTTCTGACATGCCCTACCCAGAACAAGCAAAACGGTTCTCATGCAGTGAAGTGTTGGCCACATTAAAGCCTGTGGCAAAAGTCCAACTGACTTCAAGGGTCCCGGGTCTCACCCCAAGTGTCTGGTAAAAATGTCAGAGCATTCCTCCTCACAAAWTGAAAAAAACTCACTGACAGTTAGTAGCCAGCAAAACAAAACAAAAAAATAAAACTAAACAACCACACTTGAGAACAGAGAAGGTTTTACTTCAGCTAAGTTAGAATAAAAAAAATACAGTCGAGCTCTTATTTTTCATAAAAACYGGTTGCCTTTTCCTACAATTTATTATCTCCATACATGCCACCACACAGCATATGGCCCTTTATGYTCCCAAGCATGAAAGTCTGGTGTGCCTGTGGCCACCTGTTACACATTTTCCATTATGAGAAAAAGAACAGGAACCAAAAATAAAGAGTAACTACACAGAGGAAACACTATATGACCCTACCCTGAGAAAAAGGCTGTCATTTGACATGCGCTTCTGAGAAGGAATTCCAGCAACAAACTCGAGGCAAACCCTCAGACAGTCCCCCATTTGTGGAGCTGTCTGCCAAGCAGGCTCCCATTSATAACACAGAAAAGTATTCAAGGAGGAAGACAATTCCAAGCAAACAGGGGGCAAAATGCTGGGCTTGAAAGWTGTATTTATGGCACTAAAGTCATGAAACAATAACTTCTACCCACAAAAATGAGCAAGGTGAGAGCTTGTTTTCAGCCACTGGATTTGCTGCTTTAGAGCCTGGAGGTCTTGCTATGGTCTGCTGATGGAGGGAAGTGGTGAAAAAGGAATTATTTTATACATATTTTGCTTACATGTAAAGAGAGGTATTCCTTCAAAGTCTAAAGGTTTATTTTTATGCAGATAGAGGAAGATCAAACATTTGGTCCCAGTCAGAACAACAGTGWAAAGCAAGCCAAACTTTTTAAATCAGTGATGTCTCATGGGATTAAATCAAACAAAACCAACCAATAAAAACCCACACACAGGGCGAGGTTTTACATCCTGTAGAGAGAAGCCTTTCAAGGTGAGTTGCATTGGTTACAGAGTTTCCAGAGAAGTCAGCAGAGCACACAGCAAAGRACGAGCCTTGAGAAAGAACCTGAATGGCAAAATTTGACTGCTGTTAGACACTGCAGACTGCAACACAGCACAAGCAGTACAACAAGCCCATCCTCAAAAGCTGTGAGCAAAGAACTTGACTGAAAAAAAAAGTTACAGTGCACGAATTGGGGTTCAGCCACTGACAGCTGATACAGCACTAAATGTGACCCATCCTTGTCTGCAACACTTTCAATTTGGAAGGAAGGGCCGAGTTAGTGACCCAAATTGATAATGAAGGCAAGCCCTTATCTGGACAAARTCTGTCCACAGCACTGCCAGCAGAGAGCCTGACTTGAGCGTATCAAACTCCTTATGCAAGACTTGATTTAGCAAGGGCGGCCTTGGCTTGGATGTTGGCTTGGATCTACATACCATGGAGAAATTCCAAAACTACCATTTACTGTAACTTCCCATTTCTGAGGTCTTCAGCTGGCATCTCAGTGAGCCAGGGTGAGCCCTATCTGGGCTCAGCCCTGCAGCTTACTGTGCCCAGCCTGATGTGACACAGTGAGCCGTCCCCGCACTGGCAACACAATGGGATTCTGCTCCAATTACGTGTTCCCAAAGCCTCTCCCAATCCCGTTACACCCATTCCTCACCCAACCCCTAGGAAAGGCAGAGCTGGCTACTGCAGCTGCACAGCCCCTCAGGAAAGTGGACAACAAAGAGCATTTTCATCTTGCCATTCTGCAGGGTTTCACCCTCACRCCTGCACAGCTCCCCACCAGACACACAAACACGTTCGGATCCTAACACCGGCACACACTCGCTCCGTCTTTTGGCAAAGAAGCACAGAAATCCCGATTTATCTGTAAAATTAGGGCCACACCCCATTTTCATCAGCTCATTCTGGCACCATATGAGCATGTATATATCCATGTTTCGTTTACTTCCCTCCAGCAAACACCCTGGACTTGAGCAATCGCAAAGATCTAAGGTGCTAAGCCTCCACTCCCRTTAACATTCAAGAGGAATTCAGGCTTCAGTCCATTAAGAGCTTTAAAAAAAAAATCCCATCTAAATTAATTTGCCAGCAAGTCCTTTCCTGGCTAAGGACTGGTCAAAGCTATGTTTRCAGAAATTTTGCCTTTCTGTGCAAGGCAAAAATCAATTCCGTGCTGATTTTAAGGGAGAAAAAAATACGGACACAGAAATGTGGGAATAACTTTAGAGTGGGAAAACTTTAGAAAGGCAACACAGAACAACCCCTAAAACAGCTACAATACTTGTGCACAACCAGGTGCGCCCTGGTCAGTAATTTAAAAGCAGCCTGACACTTTTCATTAAAAAAAAAAAAGTAAAATAAAAATGGAGACAACCATCTGAACCCCTTTCCTCTTGCTGCAGGCACTGCTCCTGAACCACAGAAACATGATGGGTTTGGCTCTCCAGAGAGACCCTGGGGCCCAGAACTTGAGCCTGAAATGGCAGCTCTACAGCTAAAGAGCTGCTTGGCTCTTCAAAGTACACAAAACTGATGTCCAAAGCTGGCATAACCAATCACACACTCGAGATGACTTTACTCCAAATACCTGTGAAGATGCACAGAGTAACACATTTACACTTCCTTGCTCTGAGAAGGAAAACCAGCAGCAGCACAGCATGGAAGAGCTTTTTCTCTGCGAGAGAGAACAAACTGACAGACACCAGAGCAGTGTCTTTCACTACCACTGAAAAATGCTTTGGTGGAGTCCTTGGATGTTTTAAGGGTGAGCTCCATTTTATCATCTCCAATGCAGAGACTTATTTTTAAGATATCCCACTAATTCATCTTCCCTCACTGTTATTTTTAAACCACAGTTTTAATTCCAGCAAAGAGGAGCATTCTTTGCAATGGTCMTCATCCTCACAAAGAGTGCAGGAGAGTTTTACATGTTGAACACATGTGTAAGAACCAAAAACCTGGCAACAGATTTTCATCTTTCTTTCTTACGCTCTCTACCAGTTGATTAAACATCTCTGACAGGACAATTCTGAGGGAACAGAGACTTGCAAAATGTCATTTGTTACCCAAACAATAAATCTTTCCATTATGACTGCAGATGCATGAGTTGCTCATTCTATGCCTACTTTTTTTTTTTTTTTTTTTTTTTT